TATCTACAACTCAACTGAGTCATGCGATCATGGGTTTGTTAACAATCTATTCAGATGAAATATATTTTCCCCGAATGTACTATTGGCAGTTGTAAATTACCCAAACTGGGTAGATTTAAAAATCTTTTCTTTAATCCTCACTTGAGGATATATTCATGGATTTTAGAAAGAGGAAGGACGAGAGAGAGAGAGAGAGAGAGAGAGAGAGAGAGAGAGAGAGAGAGAGAGAGAAACATTAATGTGAGAGAGAAACATCAGTCAGTTGCCTCCCTTGGGTATTGAACCTGCAACCCAGGTATATGCCACAACCTTTTGGTGTACAACATGATGCTCCAACCAGCTGAGCCACCTGACCAAGGCCAAACTAGATAGATTTTTGAAAACTTGATTAGTTTTAAAATTTGTATTTACATGTAAAGTAATTTTCACATTGGACTGAACCTTTTAGTTGAAATAAGCCAGGGTCACTTCCATTGTTTTGAGGGTCTGTGAATATTAATAAATACTAAATAGAGATTAAAAATGAAAATAAAATTAATGCAAAACATATATATATATACACACACACACATATATTCTAGTATATCCATAGCACACCCAAATTGATTGACCTGGATTTCAGACACACAATTAATGTCATGTAATGAATGATTTCCTCATTCAGTTCCTTCGGTTTTAGTTACTAAGATGAGAACCTGTCAATTTATAAAATAGATAAACTGAAGAAGAACTTTTTATTTTTGTTTCTTTGTCTTCAAGTTAAACATTTTGTGGTGGATGAAGAATGGGTGGGAGTATGAGTAGGTTATAAGACCTTTAACGGTGGGATAGAACGAAAAAGTTTCAGGAACGTGAATATTTGTTCTTGTGATTCAACAGGCGACCTGGAGGTTTTGTCAGTCTGCACACCACCAGCACCCTCCCTTCCACCCCTGCTACAACCCCTGTAAAGAAAAAGAGGTACGGTGAGCTCCTTGTGTCAGCCTCTTGCCAATATTCCCTCAAGGATTCTTCTTTAATAATTACTGAACCGAATCACCTACCAAGGCCCCAGGCAGCATTCAGAAGTTGCTCTGCCCTTCCTCCTCACCCCGTCCCCTTCCCAGGGATCCCATGCTTGGTGAATTCTGTTGTCCTCAGACTTCAGTCCACGCCGCCCCCCCCTCCCCCAATCTCCTTTTCAAACCTGTGATCTTTTCTCCAGTTCCCTTAGGGCCTTGAATATCTAGGTGTTGTTTTTGACAATAGAGCCTAGATATTCAGGTAACACAGTTTAATAAAATCCTATACAGTGAATGTCTTACCCTGAAATAATGACCAGTGTGGCCATAGGTGGCCATGTTACTGAGACCAGCTTGCTTGGCGGTGCCTCCTCTGTAAAAGTCTTTCTTTTACTTTCTTTTCTCTCTTTTGGTTTTTGTTTTGCTTTATTTTGTTTTAATTTTGACCTCATGACATAGATGTCTACTTAAGGGTGTTTTGGAGAGGGCGGTGAAGGAAACATACAGGGCATTGAGAGGAAAAACTGACACCTGATTGGTTGTTTCTTGCCGACCCTTCAGTGACCCTGTACTGAAAACCTTCAATGTCCATGTGTGGTACTGGAGCCTCCCCTGTGATTTTTTTTAAACCTTCAACTTGTTTTTGCAGCAGAATTTATTTATTTATTATAGTTGACATCCAATATTATATTAATTTTGAGTATACAGTATAGTGTTTTGATATTTATATACCTTACAAAGTGATCACCACAATAAGTCTAGTACCCACCTGGCACCTACATAGTTATTACAATATTGTTGACTATACTCTGTGTGCTATACTTTACAACCATGTGATTAATTTTACAACTGGCAGCTTGAACTTCTGAATCTCCTTCACCTTTCACTCATACTCCCCACCCCCTTCCCACCTGACAACCATCACTTTGCACTCTGTATCTATGTGTTTGTTTTTGTGTTGTTTTGTTTGATCGTTTATTTTGCTTTTTAAAAGATTCCACACATAAGTGAAATCATATGGTACTTGTCTTTCTCTGCCTGACTTATCTCACTTAGCACAATACCCTCTGGGTCTACCCATGTTGTTGCAAATGGAAAAATTTCATTCTTTTTATGGCTGAGTAATATTCCATTATACATATGTACATCTTTACCCATTCATCTACAATGGACAGCTAGCTTGCTTCCATATGTTGGCTATTGCAAATAATGGTGCAATGAATATAGGGGTGCATATATATTTTTGAACTAGTGTTTCCAACTTCTTCCTATAAGTACTCAGAGGTGGGTTTGGTGGGTCATATGATAGTAATATTTTTAATATTTTGAGGGATCTCCATATTGTTTTCAATGGTGGCTATACCGTTTTACACGTCCACCAACGGTGCACAAGGGAGCATCTTGGGAAGGGCCCTGGTGCAGGCAGAGGCCAGCCACCATTTGTGTGGGTTTGGGGGCTGCTTGGTAGGAGCTTTAGTGCAAGCTGAGGACAGCTGTCACTTGTGTGGAGCTTGAGGGTGTTTGGAAGAAACTGCGGGGTGAGCAGAGGCTGGCTGCTGCTTGTGTAGAGGGTCTGAAGCCTCAGGAAGAGGTTCTGTCTGGACAGGGCCAGATCCCAGGGAATTATTAGAATTGGGAAAATAGTGTTATCCAGGTTACTGGAGAGTGCAGATTTTACACCCACCTGTGCAGGGACAGCTAGGTAGGAGGAGAGCTCGGCAAAGAAACAATGGAACCTGCCAACCCTTCTGTCCCTTGAGAGAGTTGACAACAATCCTTGCCCTTGCCCTAAAGGTATTCAATTTAATTCTTCCCCTGCATGACCCAGGCAATTTTGGAATTGCTGCCTCTGTGCTAGAGCTTGGAGCTAGTGAGTTTGTGTGCGTACCCTTTAAGGCCAGTATCTCAGTCTCCCACAGACCTTTTCCTCTCTCAGGTATAGTTCTTGCCAGATGGTATGGGGACTTCGTTTCCCAGCACAGGTGCTCCCAGCTGAAAATCCCGGTGTGGGGGTCAGACTCATTGCTCCTTCAAAGCCGAGATATCCCTCTGGTTTATTAACTGTGGGTGTGGGACCTGCCGGGACCTTGTTTCTTCCCCTCTTACCTGTCTTGATGTAGCTTCTTCTTTATATCCTTCGTTATAGGATTCTGTTAGGTAATCTTCAGGTGGTTCTCAGTGAAGGTTGTTCTATAATTTAGTTGTAATTTTGATGTGTTTGTGGGAGGAGGCGAAATCAGAGTTTACCCATTCTGCCACCCTGACTCTGCCTCGTGCTTCAGGAATTTAAAGCCAACTCGCTGTCCTCGTACCCAAGCCCTCTCTGCCTTAGTTTCTGTCACTCTTCTCTGAACATCTTCATCTTTGGTTTATATCTTATCTTAGTCTACTTGACAGAGCCCTTAGTTATCTCTACCAACTAAAATTATGCCCTAGTAATGGGAAAACTCTTTCTAATTGGGTACACATGTATTTGTATATAAGCATATACAGGGCATCCCCAAAATGTATACACATTTTGAATAATTATAAAGGCAGTATTTATTAAAATACATTTCATTTTCAAAATGTAATAGAATTTACAGACATTGAATGTATACATTTTTTGGGGGGATAATATATATATATATATATATAATTGAAGTTAGCATTGTTGTGGTGTTCATTTATGTTTTCAACTTTCTTACTTGTCAGAATTTTCTATCACAGTTTTTTAAAGCCATGTTTTGAATAGAGCACAACATTGCTATTATTTTTATTATGAAATGCAGAAAATAGAAAATGAGGTATTTTTATGGGCCAACTATTTAGATTTTTAAAATGTTATTATTTTTCAGATTTCCTTCAGCTCTCTTTTTAAAAAAATTTCCACATTGTTAGTGTTAAAAGACACGGGGAAGGAATTTACATAGGGAAGCAGATAGCCTTGTGTGGAGGATGGTTGGTTTCTTTGTTGTTTTATTTTTTTAAATTGTTGACAGTATTAGAGATGTCCCCCATTTCCCCCTCCCCCCTGTCTTGCCCCCCTTCACTGAACCCCTGCCCCATCCCAGGCCTCCACTGCGCTAGTGTCTGTGCCATGAGCTGTGCATATGTGTATATATGCTCCTTGGTTAATCTCTCTCCCACCCTCACCCTCGTTCCCCTTCCCTCCTCCTCACTGAGATCTAGGACAGTTACTTTCTACTGCATTTACGAAATAGCCGTTATTTTATTTCTGGGGCCTTGTAGAAGTCATCTTGTTGCCTTTGTTTAATCTAATTATTTTCAGCTTTTCCTGTAGAGATGTGTGTGTGTGGTGTGGGGAGGGGAATCAGGCCTTTCAAGCACAGTGTTGATAACCAATGTCATTTCTTAACAGACAGTCCTGGTTTCCACCGCCCCCTCCAGGATATAATGCCTCTCCAAGCACAGGAGCAAGCAGAAGGTAAGGGAGAGGTGCCAAATGTAGTTTCTGTGTAACTTGATGGGAAAAGTGTTAGATATTGACAATGTATAATTGTGAATGTGGCGATTTTGTGAACTCTGAGTGCTGAACAAGACAGTGCCTAGGGGAGTGCACCCCTGGTAGGAAATCTGACAAACTGTTAGGAGTAGTAAGTAGCTGTATTTGTTTGCTAAGGGCTGCCATAACAATGTACTACAAATGGGGTGGCTTAACAAAAATGTATTGTTTCATAGTTCTGGAGGCTAGAAGTCCGAGGTCAAAGTGCCAGCAGGGTTGGTTCCTTCTAAGGGCCATGAGAGAGGATCTGTTCCATGCCCTTCCCTAGCTTCTGGTGGTTTCCTGACAGCCTTTGCCATTCCCTAATTTGTATAACCATCATCCTGATCTCTGCTTCATTTTCACATGGTGTCCGCCCTGTGTGCCTGTTCGTGTCCAAATTTCCCTTCCTTATAAGGACACCAGTCATATCAGATATGGGGCCCATTCTGCTCCAGGATGACCTAATCCTAACTTAGCTAATTACATCTACCATGAGCCTGTTTCCCAATAAGGGCACTTTCTCAGCCACTGTGCGTTAGGGCTTCGACATACCGATTTAACCGGTAAGAGTGGCAGAGGAGAGAACAGAGTCCAGCACCAGGCAGGGCTCCCATATGGGCTCCTGGTGCACGGCAGCTTCTAGTCTGTGGTGAGCCCAGTCAACTGCATGGGGGTATATGTGGCAACTTCTCTGCAAACTCTAAGTAATAGATGGGTGTTTTCTATTTTTATTTTTTGTTTGTTGAGAGCAATAATTAAACTAAATTATAGACCATGTTGGGGACACCTTGTTCTACCATTTCCAAACAGGAACGCCAGCAACAATTTAAATTAATAAGTATTGAGTAAGTGATTACTGTGCACAGATATGGTTCTAGGATCTTGGGGTGTATCAGCAAACAAAACATGGAGTCTACACTCTGGCCTTCAGAGAAGCAGGCACAAGTGTGGATCACTCCTATAACCTGTGCCATCACTAACATGTGAAGAAAAACAGGTCTCCTATTTGGTTTTGCTTTAGGGTGTCCAAAAATGTTTTCATGTCTTCAACCCCTGGAATATCTTTACCAAGTATTTCCGTGTTTCAGTGGGACTTATTTCCCCCATTCAACAATTAGGAAAGAGAGTTATTAAATGATGGGCTTGTTTAATATTGGATTGTTTTATTTCTTAAAATTTTCATCTGCTGTGCAGGCTTTTAATCTCTCTTTTATTTCCAAATAATAGAAATATTTGAAAAGAAGTGTCCTTTGTTGTAATTCAGGTTACATCTATATGGACATAAGCATTAGTCCATGAATAGACACAAAGAGCTCAAGGTGCTTTTCTCACACCTGTTGTTGCATCTCTCTCTATATGTACATATGTGTGTGTGTATTCCGTTATTTATTTATATCTGTTATATTTATATATAACATTAGCGAACATGCTGAATAATCACAACTTGGAATTATAGCCACCTTCTGTTAAAATGGCGTGTTTTTTGAAACCTACTCATTTGTAGGTGACTTCCAATTATATGAACTGTCAAGTATGGATTCTATTTCTAGTTTAAAACCTTCTTTCCCCTCCAGCTGTGTTTAGATATTTCTCTATGAGTGATACTTGGCTACCTAAGTGGGAACATTTTTAACCAGGAGTTTTAGTAGCTGCTATTACTGCCTGAGTATTATAAAATCCATCTAGTTTTGTCTTGATAGAGAATAACTGGCACTTAGAAATATATATTACTTATTTCCAAAATAACTTAGTACATTTATCTTCTATTTAGTATTCCAATATTAATGTACATTATAATAATAATAAGCAACTGGTTATATAACTATGTAGAAATGTGGAAGGATTATTCATGAGTTAACATCTCATGTTCTCAGTGCCCATTGAGCTGTGGATCTATGCACAGAACTGACAGATCTTGGCTACGTGCCCTTACAGTGAATGCATTGCTGAATGTGATCTACATGGGAGATAAAGTGCTCCTATTTCTGATTCCTGGCTCAGATCCACAGCACCAGAACTAAGGAAAAGAGAAGATTATTGGACTAGGTTGATCAGTTTAGATATTCATTCCTTTTATCGAGCACAGATTATTAATATAATGGCTAAACTGAAAGACTTCTCTGTGAGGATCAGAGCTAATGCCACGCCAAGCTTTCGGGGGAAGAAGAGAGTAATAGCGGCATAGCGATGCCTTTTATTTCTAAAGTGCTTTTCTTTGGGAGAGCTCAAAGTAAAGCTTCTGTTTCTCACCTTTAGTGCCAGGCCTGAGAATAGCCTTTTTAGTGAAAGCTGAAAAATAGAAGCAATTATTAAATGATGAAAGAAAGCAGAAGCTTCAAAAAGAGACCTTTGTTCTCAGAAAAGCCCAAAGAAAATGAAAATAGGTCAAACACAGATTTAAAATGTGTTTTTTCTAAATTCTCTCCCAAGGATAAGTGTTTTTTTAAAGCTGATTTTAAAGAGAGAGTGAAAGAAAGGGAGGGAGGGAGAGAGAGAGAAAGAGAGGGAGAGAAGAGAGACATTGCTTGGTTGCCTCCCATACATGCCATGACTGAGGATCAAACCCACAACCTAGGTATGTGCCTTGACTGGGATTCGAACCTGAAACCTTTTGGTGTATGGGATGCTCCAACCAACTGCGCCACCTGACCGGAGCAAAAATATGATTTTTAATAGTAGCTAATAGTTCAATGTTAACCTTATTTTCTTTCATCCTTCACTTATATACTGGTTTCCTTCCTTTTCTCTCCCCTCCCATCTTCTGCAAAGGAATTTTACCTTAATACTGACACTCTCACTGTCTTTTCTGGTCTTCATTTTGTGAACTTTCATTTTTTTCCATCACATGATCTTTATCAGAGATTTCATTTCTCCCACAAGCACATTTGAAAAAAGACCATCATACTCTGCAATCATTATAGGAATGAGTATTTGTACCGAACTTTTTGTTGTTGTTGTGTATCCTCAACCGATGATATTTTTTTTCATTGATTCTTAGAGAGTGTGGATGTGAGAGCAAGGGGAGAGAGAGAGAGAGAGAAACATCAAAGTGAGAGAGACACATGGGTTGGTTGCCTCCTGTACATGCTCACCATAGTAGGGGATGGAGCCTCCAACCCAAGTATGGGCCCTTGACCAGGGATGGAACCTTGAAGCCTTCTGTGCGCAGGCCAATGATCTAACCACTGAGCAACTGGCCAAGGCACTGAACTTTTCAACCCTTGACCTTTCTGTGGCCTTTGAAACCATGGTCCACTCCATCCCTCCTTTGTTCCTTTCTTGACTAATATAGTGTGGAACCATCAAATTTAGTTGTTTTTAGATTAAAAACTTCTGTTGGCATTGTGTTTGGATTCAAATCTATCACAGGCATGATGTAAACTGTGTCTAAAAGGTCTCAAGCCTCTTTTTTTTATCAACAGAAGAAAATATAAGTTATATTTATATGTTTACCTATACCTATGACTATATAAGTATGTATTTATGTCTGATTTATTTTTACATCTACAACTATAACTATATCTACATGTAATTCTATATATTCAATTAATATAAGGCTGGTGAAGTCAACTAGAGCTTAAATGATAAAATTTAATCTTCTAAAATAGCCATAAATCATAGCCAAAGAAAAAAGCAATTTCCTAAAATAAGTATCACTTTATGTATGATATACATTAGTTTTCCAATGCAAGGGTTAAGAGCTGTGTGATCAAATAAAATTCTGGAGATAAGAATTAAATATCTTTGAAAGCTTCTTGCCCCCTTCTTGATAAAACAAGATTAAAGAGATAAGTTGTAATTCATGTCGGTGAGACATAGCATGTAAAGTTTGGAACTTAAATGAAACCTCTTTTAGCTGATTTCTAGGGTAGCTCCTTGGTCATCAGGAGATAAGTGTTCTCTGACCTCCTCTTCCTTCTCTTGCTGAGAAGGGAAACAATCAGCATAGTGTTTCGAATGACCAACCTATGTCAACACTATTGTTTTCCCTGAAATCTTCTACCCAAGGCCATCAGAACCTGTAATATTTTTTTTCATTTTAATGAAGACTGAAACAAGATGTTAGCTGTTCTTCATTACATTCATCCGTCTCTCTTCCTATCTCTCTGATCAAACCCCTGCTTCACAGTTTTTCTCCCTTTTCCACGTTCAAATCCCTTTCATCTTAAAATAGTGTTTCCTAAAATTGAATAAAAAAAAGTTAAAAACCCACAAAGTTCTCAGAATTGTTAATGATACTTTCCATCTCCATTTTCTGATTCCTACCACGATTAGTTCATGGAAATCTCTCTCCCAGTTCATTAGTGATCTTGCTGATAAATTCTTTTTGACCTCTCAGTCCCTATGACTCCTTGACCTTTCAAAAGGCACCACTGGCCATTCCTGAAGTCTTTCTCCTTGTTTTTTTTTTTTTTGTTTGTTTGTTTTTTGTTTTTAGAAATATCTCCACACACTCTTGGGTTTTATTTCTCTAGCCATTCTTTCTCAGGCTCCTTTACTACCTCATCATCCTCTGCCAAGCATGACATGTTGATGTTCCTAAAGGCTCAAAGTTGTTCTTCTCTTCTGAGTCTGTGCCCCGCCCTTCTATAGCATCTTCCATGCCCAGGGCTGTAATGGCCATTTGTTTGCTCTCAACTCCATCATTTATATCCATTTCACACCTATCTGAGTTACCTTGGGTGACCAACGGCCTACTTGACACCTTCATTTCAATATCTGAAAAGCACTGCACACTCAACATGTTCAGAATGAAATTGACAATTCTCCACACCAACCCGGTTCTCTGTGTCAGCCAGGCAATGCCACTGAAAATTTGAAGTTATTTTTTACACCCTTCCGTTCTTAACCCCAATGTTCAATCCACCAGCAAGTCCTGTCGTTTGGCTTCTGAGTGCCTCTTGAATCTATATACCTCTTTC